GGAGTGAATAAAATATCTTGAATCTTGGTAATGATCCATCCGATTGCGACCAGTTTCTTTATCGTATATTTCACCGGTCTATACTTTATCGGGATTTCCTACCATTCAGACGAGCTGGAACAAATGTACAAAGTTCCTTTGGTCTTCCGATCCGTTTGTGATTACTATCCTATCCTCCCACACAGAAATCGCCCTCGGTCGTTTGATTCCATCTGATGACGTCATCAGTTCCCTGACATTTGATCCATCCCCAGACATCTGTATGATGTTGTTTGAACTACTTCCACAAACATATACGTTGCCCTGCCTGTCCAGGTCTATTCCTGTTGTACCTTCCACGACTCCGACCTTCAGTATGTCTGTGTGCGTACCGTCCGACAGTCGTGTCACGACCACCTCGTCTGGCGTAGAGGTACAGATGCTAGCAAAGACGTGTCCATTCTTCTGATTGCTTGCGAGATGCAAACATTTTGATCCAATTGTGAGAAGTTGTTTAGGTTCACCTCCGCTTGCTGGTACACTATAAATTGATTTTGTTGTACCGACAGTGAAATAGTTGTTGTGGTATGCGACACCAAGACAGGCTTCATTAGGCTTTGGAATCTTGATTTTCGATGAAACGGTCAAGGTTGAGTCCCCGACATTGACAATACATATTGTTTTGACACCTATCAGTATCACTGCCACAGTGTTGTCATCAATACGACAAAGATCACAGAATGCATCCGTCAGTTCAAGCTCGAATTTTAAATCACCCTTTTCTGTAAATAGTTTCATCTTTCTATTTCCATGGTCTCCGACAACAATACGACCACCGGGCAGAAAAACAACTCCTACAGCCCTACAGTCGTTTTTGTCTGAAGCAATTTTGATAGTGAAATTTTCCCTCGTCTTCAACTGACGTTCCGACAATGGTACTATGTTACTATACACAGTAGATGGCAGTCTCCTCGGTTGTTGATCAACAACTATCTTCCCCATTGTAAGGCTGGTGTTGATGTCGACAGCGAGAATATCCGAGTCATATTCATGTTTGATACTTGTGGACGTAGACGACTCCAACTCCTGTATGAGTTCCTTACAGGACTCGACCTCCGCCTGTCCTCTCTGGAACAGACAAATTGTCCCCACGGTGTCATCCTTCAAGGCTGCATCCTCGGATGACGTCAGCGTGTTCTGTATAGAGAACATCAGCCGTTCACATTTCTGTTTTGAAATTTCGAGACTTTCTTTTTCTTCCTTAAAGGATTTTACAATGTTTTCTGTAAGATCTTTCTGTAGTACATCAAACCGCTCGTCGATCTTTTTGCGTATGTCGGTCAAACTTTGCAGAGCAGTGTCCTGATCCATTGTCATGGACTGGAGTTGTTCACCAACATCTTTTATCAGTATCTCCATGGCATCTGCACTTTTCCGAAGTTCCTCCAGCAGATCATCGATCTTAGAGCTTTTCCTCAACTTATCCCGGTAATCCTCTGCTGACGTCACCAATTCACACTTTCGATGATCCAAGATGATGCATTTACTGCATCCCAGAATTTGATCATCTTCACAGTAATATTCCATCTTTTCCTCGTGCTTTCCACATCCATTGACTGAGGCCTTCTGATGTAGTACAACTGATATGTTTACTTCAGATATGTCTTGACATTCACATTCTTCATGAAGCAAATCATGAATGTTGATTTTGCAGGTTGAACAGAAGTAAGTGTTGTTAAGCTTACACCAGAATTTCGCTTGGTTATTCAAGTTTCCTTTCTTTTCACATGGTTTGCACGTGATCGATTTATCTGTCTTTTGTATATGCTGGATTATTTCGACTGCCAGATTGTTGGTGGGGAACTGCTCGGCCCAACTCTCTTTACCTTCTGATTGGTTCAATGGCTCAGTGACCTTCCGGCACACAGGACAGGAGAAAGAAGACGCTGACGCCATCTTACCTGACAACTCCTTAGTGATGTAGCTACCCAGGCATTCCAGACAAAACGAATGTAGACAAGGCAGTGATTTCGGTTGTCGCAGCTGCTCCAAACAGATAGGACATTCGAGTAAATGGGAGTCCAGGGACTGACGCATGGCGCCAGCTACCGACGACTGTTCGTAGTCGGATCCACCCTCCGCCATTCTGA